CATCGGGCTGCATCGGGCTGCTAGCATCACGCAAGTCGCCACCGCTCACTTGCGCATCCCTCGCTCGCTCGATGTGTAGCCGGTGATTTGCTGCGAGCGGAGCAGCAGCGTCCCGACAGTCAGTATGGAGCGCTGATCGCTGAGCACATCAAGGAGGGCAAGATTGTGCCTCAAGAGGTGACCATCGGATTGCTGCGAAACGCCATGAAGGCGGCTCTGGACAGTGCCGGCGCTTCAGTCAGCGGTGCGAGCAAGTTGGTGCCAGAGTCTCAGAGGGAAAAGTGGAGCGATGGAAAGGGAAGGTTCCTCATCGATGGCTTCCCACGCAAGATGGATCAGGCTCTGCTCTTCGACGAGCAGGTGAGTAATTCAAACTTTGCTGTCACCAACCCACGGAGACAGGCCCACGCTAACGCCTTGCGTGCACCGCATCGTCGACCTGCAGGTCTGTCCCAACCGCTTTGTGCTGTTTCTCAATGCCGATGAGGATACCATGCTAGAGCGACTGTTGGAGCGCGGCAAGACCAGCGGAAGGACGGATGACAATGCAGAGAGCATCAAGAAGCGTTTTCGTAAGTGGGCAAGCGCATGTTCGTCGACCTTTCACATGTCGCTCACATCTCTTCGAGCACCATATTCTCTCCTGGCAGGCACATTCGTCGAGACGAGCATGCCAGTCGTGTCGCACTACAGAGAGCACGGTCAGGTAGTGGAGGTGAGTGCTGCATCTGTACCTGAGCGGACTTTCGCTTGCCGAGCAGAGCTGACACACTGCTGCTACCTTCATCTCCTCTCAGGTGGATTCGGTGCGCGCCATTGAAGAGGTCACGCAGGACATTCGTAAAGCTGTGCGCGCTTCTTTCGAAAAGCTGGGCGAGCAGCCGTAAGTTGGTGTTCAGAGAAGTGTTCAGCTCAGTGTCTCTTTCGTAGGAATCCAAATCCCTTTACATGATGGACCAGCATATCCTTGGATCGTGACGACGCATCGACTCGAGGCTCTGCGAAGCCTGACCACTTGAAACACATGCAAGCTTGTTGTGTATGAGTAGTCACAACGGAGTCAAAAAAGAAAGCCTCGTTTGGTTCAACATGAAAGGGGGTTCGCGATGGGCAAGTCACGTGATACTGTCGCGTTGCAGAGGGGCCTGGCGCCGCGTGCGTGGGAAGACGGTGTGGAAGGACTGGTGACTGCGTG